CACGTCAAAACTCAGGAGAAGTTTTAGGTTAAGAATTGGTGGGAAGAAGACGGTTTAGAGGATTATCAATCATTAATAAATATTTTAAGAATCTACAAGGAAGTGATGAAGTTCATTTCCTAGACTCTGGGATTGAACTTGAGAATCCCACAATCAATGACGTTGATGCATTTGACATGGAATTTGGCATACTCTGGTTAGGGAATTTTGTTCCAATTAGAGTGTCACCAGATTTGCTTAGCTTGTAACTCATAGTTGAAGAGAGAGTTCTTGAGAGGTGGTTGAATGAAAGGGATAGATATTTTAGTGCTGGGATGTTAAAAATTTTGCCACCCCTTAGTCTATTCTGTCACACGTTAAATAACTCTTGCAAATCTTTGAAAGTTGTCAACCTCCTTAAGTATTAGACTTTGGCAAAAAATAAAAAAGGTACGTTGGACCACTGTTAGCAAATTGTGCGATTTATAAACTGTAGTGCAAAATGCTAGAGTTAATTTGCTGATTCCTTATTGCTTTATAAAGAAAGTCACTGATTAAGAACTAAATGAAATCCAATTTGCCGGTGATTAAAGCGTTATCCTTCTACTATTGAAAGATTAAAAATATTTTCTTTTCCTGTCAAAGTTGTTATCACCAACTTCTAAATCTATGTAGATATAGTCAAATTCCCAACTATCTTTTGTAATGCCTCTGCCAAATTATGGTATTAAACTATTAAACAGCTCAAATTCAAGTACAATTTTAAAATGATGAGTAAAGGTTTATTTTTTATAGGCTTTTTTTTTGGCATGTGTAGAAGCACGACAAATTGAAGGATTTTTCAATTAGATTATTGCTGTTGGTCCTCTCATCAGCTATGTGATAAAATCTCTCAGGCTTTTCTCCCTCGGCTTTAGAGTTTTGCGTGAAAATGATCCTTTTGTTTTAGCTAGAGGTGTCAAAATGGGTGACTTGAGCGGATTTGAGTTGGGTATAATGGGTAATGGGTAATGGGTAATGGGTATAAGTGAGTCGACCCATTTATACTCATTTAATTAGATAGGTATAAATGGGTAAGTCAAAAAATGAATTGGGTAACCTAATTACCCGTTTATAACCCATTTATTTTAATTTTTTGTAAACTCATTTAAATTTATTTTTTCAAACTAAGTTATCAATTTATACCGCTCTTTGTACCCATCATTAATTTTAAATATTTACTTATAATGTTCAATAAACCTAATTACCAATTTTTTCCATTTATACTCTATGTCGCAAAATTACATATTATTTAATAATTGAATAAAAAAAATTGAACTAAGTACTATAAAAGTTAATATAAAAACTTAATCCAAAAATTTTGAACCCCTAACATTTTTTTCATTTATAAATTTAAAATTTTATTTTAGAAAGATAAGAAAAGAGGCTAAAACTTATCATAAATTGGTAATGCTAAAAAGTGAGCAAGTTAACAAATTAAGAGAAAATAAAATAATAAGATAAAACCAACAAATAATAATAATAGTGAAACAAAAGTAGTTAACATCATGACAAAATGAAATATTTGAAAAAAAATGGTGGGGGAAATGAAGAGACTTAGGGGAAGAGAATTCTAAATGGGTTAATTGAGTTTGATGGGTTATCTAGTAATATCCATTTATATGCATATACAAAAATTTAAGATACCCGTACTCACCTATTCATGGGCGGGTATGGATAAATTTAGTTATGTAGATTGGTTTGCCACCTATAGTTTTAGCATGCAAAATTTTATTTCAACAGGTCTATAAATTCTTATTAATCTATTTGCTCAACTTCATTACAGTGATTGTCGAGGGAATTCTTGAAGACAATAACTCTTTGTTATCAACATTATTGGAACTTTCACCTAAATGAGGATACGGTCCATGAATTCCACAGGTCGATAAGTATGAATAATTAAATATTTTATTGTCAACTACCACATGATATTTCAAATGAACTTTTGACTAATTGTTAATTTTTGTACTTTATAACTATCTGGAAAAAATTATTAAATACTACCAATTCCCGAAGTGTGAAAATTTTAAAAAGGATGCTAAATATTAGTGCTTAGTTTTGAAATTTATCAAACTAATATTGAGGTACAAACTAGAATATGACAAATTAAAAGGAAATATTTTAATCCTAAAATAAAAAAGAGTAGAATAAGAACACAAAATAAGTCTAAACTTTAATCATTACATACTAAAAGTTTAGTAGGTTTTATAATATTTTTATTCTAGATTTTTGTTTGCATTAATGTTGCTAGCTATTGTGTTATATTTTAGAATAATCTTTCATGTCCACAAGTTTTCGGCTATCATAGTAGACTAGCATGTATCTTGCATATGAAAACTTGCAGCATCATTTTAAGTACGATTCTAACTTTTTACAAAATAACCGAATTATACTAGACATCTGTAAAAAATTAAAGGGTAAAATCCACAAATCCCCTTTGTGCTACCACCAAAATTTTGGAAGTCTCGTTCAAAAATTTCCATAAAACCCCCTTATGATTCACTGTAATGGTGATTTTTGACCAACTACGTCATAGGTAGCAGGACATATATATTTTATTTATTTATTCTTTATAATTTTTTCCTTTTTATTTACTTCCAAAAACTAACGTTTTTTCTTTTCTTTATTTCCTTTTCCTTTTCTTCTTCTTCCCCATCACTCCAACCATCACGCCGCCATCCTTGCTAATGCCATAAACTCTACTCTCACCACTCTCACTACCACTATTTCAAACTCCCGCCACCCTCCCTTCCCCTCTCTCCTGCTCCTCTTGCCTTCCCTAACTACTACCTCCTCTCCTAACTTCTCTCTTCATCCTTTGCCCTTTTTCTCTGTTCTCACCTCCTTTGCCTGCTACTCCCCCTTTTATCAAGATTAGCTCAGAAAAGGGGGAAGGGGAAGCAACAAGTAAAGGAAGGGAGGGCAGATTAGGAAAAAAGGGGAGAAGGAGGAAAGGTGGGTGGTAGGGGTGAAGAGAATGAGTGTGATAGGAGTGGTAGAGGTGGTGGTGGAGCAAGCAAAATCCATGGGTCTAGTTTTTATATTCCTATCAAAATTTTATTCAAATTGGGACTTCAACTTGGTACTGATAGAAGCACCCTAGACTTTTATGCAATTGGGATTCTTTATGCTATTTGAGAAATTTTAATTTTGAAATCATATTTGTATGTGGTGTTGGTGGTATTGTTTAGTGGTGGAGATGGTAGTGTTAGTGGTGGTGATTACTGATTAGTGGCTGAGAGAAGGCAACTAGAGCTGTTGATTAGTAATGAAGATAGTGATAGAGATGATGGCAATGAATGGCTGAGATGGTGACTTTGTCTAAGAAATGTTATTGCAAATAAAAAGGGTAGAACAATCATAAGAATGAATTAAACTATGCACCACTTGAATTTTGGATACCACGGGAGCTTTTTTGGATTTTATCTAAAATTAAACTATGAATCACTTCCCACAAATTCTTTTAAGCTATAGACTTCAAAGTAACAAGCTATTGAATCTAAAAGTTTGTAGCATGATATTTCCATTTGGAGTTCAAAATCAACACTGTCAATTTAGTCACAATATTTTTTTTCTCAATTTTCCTTTTAAGTTTCCTTTATCAAAAAAGATAGTTCACATTATTATTTGGTAAGCTTATTTCGGATAAGAACAGCCCATGTAACTCTAATTCATTAAAGATGACTAAAAATATGAAATATATCGTATACCAGAAATTCTAAAGTAATAATAAAGACAAAAGACATGTACATCTTCTTAAGATATGGAATCAAAGACTAAATTGCATCAAGAATTACCAAATTATAACCAAAGTCAGATGTGATACAGAGGGGGGAAAAAGTTTATGAAGAGGAGCGACACCCTAAATTTCTAAATGCACGATTTCTTTTATATTGATTACTAAGCACTAAAGTAATTTTTAGCAATGCATTATCATGTATAAAGTTGATCATGAATAAAAAGTAGATTACCTAAAATATAACACAAATAAGTTTTTTATAATATATGTTTGTCATTTTAACGCAAATAAGTTTTTCCTAACAATAAAATAAAAGGAAGAAATCCACATCCCTACATGTCATGTTAGTTATTTAATTTTCTTTCTTTATGCATTATTTCAGACTTTGCTTTTATTCTAAATGCTCACACAAATTCATCAAAAAAGTATATCACATAAATCATACTCCTCTTCAAAAGTTGTTTAATGTAGGCTCATACATTAGAAAGTGATTTTACATAATAAACTCCAAAGTGATTAATGTAATGCTATGATTTAAAAGCAATATGGATGAGAAGATTAATGGTATCTAGGAAAAGTCAAAAATAAAAATGAAGATCAATTGTTGAAGCAAAAGTTCCACTCCCTAAAACTGATTTAAATTTTTTACATTTGATTGATTTAAATCAAATACATTTCATGGTACAATCTTTTCTTTCAATATACATATATACATTAAAAATAACTAATTCAAAATATCATTATAATACATATATTTCAAAAATAACTAATTCAAATTTTTGTTTCTTCATCCTGAAAATTAAACTACTAATGATTTCACCCGCGTACAATGCATGTGCATGGTACACCTTACAATAAAAGAAGATCTCTAGTTTAGATTCAAGCTACAAATTATTTAATTTATTATTATCATCACCACCACCATCGTCAACTTGTCAGTCATTATTATTATTCTGAAGGGGGGAAAAAGAAACGCTTTGAGTTCCCGTTTACATATTTCTGTACCGATTCACGCCTTTCCAGTTTTTCTCGCCCAAAAAATGGTAAATAGGACTATAAACTGTTAAATGCAGACTGATACTAAGGTGGCGGTCAGGAATTGGATTATGAACTGTTAAATGCAGATTGATACTTAGATGACTGTCCCCATATGGATTTGGATCCGAAATTCAAGTTTACTCGACAAAATAATGCAATGGCCCATAATGAAAGTCCAATTTCATCTCATGAGCAAACAAAAGCCTTTGCGAAAGCTACAAATATTAGTGAAGGAACGCAAATTACAAGTTCAGAGTTATCCACGGAATAAGCTAACTAATGTCCGTCAATCTCTCTCTCTCTCTCACAAAGCAGTTTGTTTACCTCTCTCTTTCTTCGCCATATTAAATAATTAATGACACTAAGGACATTGAATAATTTATAACAGTTGATTCCCAATGCCAGAAGACCTCAATAGATCAGACGTCCTGTTAAACATAGATGGGTAAAAATTCAATGGAAATTTGGAACCATAGAAACGATCTCTCGCCCAAGATATTTAGATTCACAACTCCCAATTTCTGTTTACAGCTCACAATATTGTACACCTGTTGAGCCCCACAGCAGCGAAAAGTCTTTTGACTTTAGGCAACAATCCCGACATAAAACTCAGGCGAGTTCGAGCAGCAACCTGCTGCATATCCTGCTCGTTATTAACTAAATCCTGATGATGTTCGTCATTGTTGTTCTCAGTAGCACTTTCTTCTCTCTCTCCAACTCCAGCTTCTGAAATTTCTCCAGGATTCTTGTCAAAGAGTCCCTTATACTGGTTGCGAGCCCTCCTATGCACTTCCTGCTTTGCATCCAAGTATGCAATTAAAATTTTAAGAAAGCAATGTTAACACACAATTTGTAAATCAACCAACCTGTTCTTCCCTTTTAAGTTTGAGAAGAGCTGCTTTTGCAGTAGGCTCAGATGACTTGTCAATACTCATCATCTGCATAGCAATCCAAAATGCAACTTGAGGAGGTACATAGCTATGGTACCCAACTATTATTAACATAGAAGACAATTACCTTGTTAAGATCATTTCTTGCCTCCTCAAAATCTCCAGCTGTCATGTAGGCCATTCCACGTCGATAGAGAGCTTTCACATGAATAGGATTTGCATCCAATACCTGCATTACAAATCAGTTGTCAGAGCAAAGTTTGACTTGGAATGAAATCACCCAGAGTGATCAAACTTTAGTCTAAGAGGCTTCAGTAGAACGCTAACACATCTTTTTCATACAGCTAGGAAACTTTTAATTTCGGAGGCAAGTTATTTACCTTGTTGCATTCCTCAATAGACTTCCTGCAATCTCCCATTTTCAAGAAGCATGCAGCCACATTTAGATGCAACAGATTCTGGAACAACTCAAATCACATTAGAGACCAACTATTCTAGATAATGTGAAAGCAACGCGTTGAAAATGTCATCAATCCAGAGAGACATGTCTATTAAGTAGCAAGCAGATATAAGCACTCTTACTCTTGTATCTGAAAATTCTTTTCCCTCGTCATCATCTTGAGGATTAACATGCTTAAATTCTCGCAGTACCTGCAAAAAAAAACCCAACACCACTGTTCTAGATCTTCATTCAGTTCAACATAACTTCTTACCAACTACTTAAGGAAAAAAAGGGTCACCACGTGCTATTTATCCTGATTTTATCAGCAAGGACTGCAACTACGTAAGGTGGGACAGAAGAACAAAACTAGTTGCATAAAACCAACAAAAGTAGTATCTGATTTCCAAATAAACAAGACACATAATGCAAGCTTAAATTTGGACAATGAATGCTGTATAAGTTGAGAAAACATAAAGTTATCGAGACTGAATGAGTTACCACATGCCTTCTCATACTTTGCCTTGGCAAGTTGATATTTTCCTTCTTTGAAAAGCCTGTTACCCTGAAAAGGGTATACAGAATAAATGAGCTTCATTTGGACAATACATATTGTTATGCATGCAAGAAGTCTCAAAAGCCTGCCCTAATAGATGGAAATTCACTCTAAGTGAAGTCATGTTTAAATGAGGCCCTTCAATAGACCATGTGGAAATAATAATTCAACTGTGGGCACTGAATCGACCCTCAAAGTCACTTAGAATAGTGCATGGCATATATTAACTAATAACCACAATGACAGATGAGGACAGCTGATAATTCTCATACAATGCTAATCACAAGAAATGATGATAATAATGGATAGCAGCAGTGGTAAAACAAATAATATACATTGACAAGGAAAAAGACAATATAAACAAATAGTACTGAACAGGCTGAAAATAATGTTCCTCAGAACCTGTCCAACTAGTTTAAAATCATACCGTGCCTTTGATCTTCTCAACATCTTCCATTATCTGTCTGAAGTTGAAACCAGTCCAGTCCTGCAACCAAAAATCTTGTCAAATAATAATTAATCATTTAATGCAACAGGAGGATGTACAATGAGAAACATGAAAATATTAAAGTCAAATGAGACTGTCAGCCTGTTTGATGCATACACCAAAACTTTAACTGGTTGGTATCATCATTGGACCAAATATGATAAAATTTTTATGTTACTAATTCTAGAAACATAATGGAGGGAACTAAAGAGGCATTGATCTACGGGTCATCCACTGCCCGTTTCCTTAACTTTCTTATACCCAACAGAAAGATAAAACTCTAAAAAGGAGTTCTCTATCAACAAGTTTATAATCAGAAAGTCTGCCCATGTGGACCATAAAAAACCGTCTATTCATTCTCCATTAACCTATCTGCTACTTAAGGTTTCACAATGCCACCCAAACTTAAATGAAGAAAGCATAGAACCCTGACGCTTTTTGCTGGTCATGTCCCCAGTAGGGCTGTAAACGAACCAAGCCCTTAATGAACAGTTCAGGCTTGATTCGTTTAGGGTTCGATTTTCAACAAACTCGAGCTCAAATTCAAATAGGAATTAGGATTCATTTATAGTATCAAATCGAGTTCGAACTTGTAGATATTCAGCTTGTTAAGGCTTGATTTGACTCGAATAATTTTTAATATTTTTATATAAAATAATTTAACAATATTTTATATAAAATTATATATTTATTATTTTATCATATAGATATTATATATGTATTAGTGATACTATAAAAATAGAAGAACTGGATAAATTTTCGAGCTCTCGAATTGAGCTCAAATCCATTGAATGTTAAATCAAATCGAACTTGAGCTTAGATTTTGAGCTCATATAGGATTGCAGTTCAAATTCGAGTTAAAAGTTCAATTTAATCGATTCGTTTATAGCCCTCCCCAGTGTAGCAGTTACCCTACTCTCCAATTGCTTTTATGGTCTACAATTCTGTTAATTTACAATGAATGACCAATCATTCTTTTCAATCTAATCCTCAGAAACTAGATGCTCCTTAGAAATTTCATAAATCCATGATACAACATACATCTATAGTAATAAGATTCTTCTTTAAGTTTTCACAAAAGAATACATGTATCACTTAGTTACCTTTGGCATCTCAAATTCAAGAAGCTCAATCTCCCATTGGATATGGGCACCTTCAGGAACATTAGCTGGCCTAATGATAATGTTAGAAGAAATGTCAAAAGGATGCTGTGCAATAAAGCATGAAGTTTCAGAAAGAAAGACATAAAGCTAAAATATTAAGGACTACCCATGCATTTTCAGATTATACATAGCAGGCCCAACCCAATGCTTGAGGTTCCTGCCAATGAGGTCTGGGAGTGCCTAGGTTTTTATGGCCTTAGCCCCGCACAGGCAACTTCTCTATTTAACCATGAAGTCCGAGGTTACCCATTGAGTAATTTTACTTTTGTGTAAAGACTTCTATCATTCCCATGCAAAACATTTTTTCTAAGCAAATTTGTTATAACCTTTGAAACTTGTCATAGGCATATTCAGGAGGACACGTGACAACAGCTAACTCTCCAGGCAACATCAGACGAACACACATTTCAAACCCTTCAGGTACCTACACACATTGCAGAAGATGAAATTTGCAATCAGACTTAAACATAAGATCAATAAATCAGTGCAGTGTCCTCCCTTGCATCTATGCAAGGCATGGAACTAGATACCTAAACCGATTTGAGGATAGTAGAGGGGAGACGGGTGGGGGAAGGACAGGCTAGAAAAAGAGATATTTGAAATATGTGCTCATATACAGTAACTTGACTTACAAGCCCTTCCCCAGAGCTGAACTCCAGAGGCTGCCCATGATTATCAACTTTTGTATCATAGAAAACTGTCTTTGCCCCATTAAGAAGCATGCCTTTGTAATGGACACGTAATAAGCTATCATGAAGAGGGCAATCCATGGGGAATTCACCTAACCATGAAGAGTTAAGAAAAGCATAAGACGTTATTATTTAGTCAAAATCAGATAAAACCTTGAAACTCCTGTAAAGATATGACAAAGTTATCGAGATACCCTTTTAACCATTCATTTGTAGCTTATATGCATATTTACAAACATAGAGACTTGATAGTTGCAGGGAGGCACACTAAAAACATGGAAATATAACAGGATAAGCAGTCAGAAATTCAGAGCTATATTTCACAGGAAATATGAGCGTAAACATTCTGGCCCAAAATGAAACTATGGATGTCTTCGAATTGTCTAAAAGTTCATCAGATCTCGGATTTGACAAATAACAATATGTCATAAGAGGTTCTAAGTTCAAAATATGCAAAAACATATAATGCCGATCTCCAAAATGTAGAAAAAGGAAAAGCAAACCTCTTCCATCACGAATGCGACGCTTGATAAGGCGTCCATCTCCAAGCACATCACGGACCTACAAATGCCACAACCAGAAGTTAGAACATCCTCTGTCATTTCGCTACCATAATAGATTGCAATACTGCATTAACAAGGCATGCTTTCCCATGATTCATGGACATAATGAAATGTGATTATTCGGAATGCCACTTAGTAGGATTAATTTTTGAAGATCCAAGAAGTCCCTAGTAATTCCCCATAGACAAGAAGGATGACATTCATGATTCAATGAAAAAAGAGCAAAATTTAACCATTTCAAACTCCAACTATCAGAAATTTATATACAAACATTCAATCAAACACATCAAAGTACTACTGCTGGCGCGCCATGGAACAACTCCAAGAAAAACAGAGGGGAAAGAGAAGGGATTAAGGCTCCTATAAAATTTAATTTGAAGACAACATCTCAGCCACAGTCAAGCACACAAATATGATTATCGACACATATACATGTTAAAAAACAAACATGCGCGGCATGCTCTGGGCAAAATATGAATATATTAAACAACTACAGGTTTGTGAAACTCAATTTCTACCTGAACAAAGTGGACAAGCTCCACCTCAAAATAAATTTCTTCCACTCCTTCTACAGCAGAAATCAGAGGAGTTTCCGTTATATGTTGACCAGTAACATAAATTACTGCCTTCTCACCACGTGACATTGTTCCTATTCCCATTTCAAGCCCTTTAGGTATCTATGTCAAAATACACAAGAATATAAGAAAAAGTTTGTGTGAGTTGTCATGACACAGGCAAATAGGAACTGAAATTCTAGGAAGAAAATAAAGAAAAGAAACGAGTAATTAGGATAGTAATTTCACAAATGTGGAGAACTCAGTAAAATGCTTATTTTGCAAAGTGATGAAATAGGAATAGATACACAGGAAGAACAAAAATCAAGATAATAAGCATGAACCATAAAGAAAAAAAAATGGAAGAAAATGGTATAAAACTCACCTCAGATTTTCCCAAAGTAAAATGCACTGGTTGCTTAGCACGTGACAAGACCATTTTTCCTTCCCCTGACCTTGCTGAAATCCTAGAAACAAAGATAATATTCCAGTTTCGCCAATGTCAATTGTCAAATATCGACTACAACATGATCATGGTAAAGACAAATATGACACACATAGCAATCAAGGAAGGCAACAATCAATTCCTACCAAGCTTTTACTTCATATGGCTCCCTTGGTGTTTCCCAGCCCTGTCCTTCCTCTATTACCTGGTCAGGAAAAAAGAAGATAAAAACCACTAAACTTGTGAAATGCACTAACAAAAATCAACTTTGGTTTCATTTGCTTTGTACTTCTTTCCATAAGCTTTTCCAACCACTTTGACCCCAATCACCTGAAGTTTGTTAACACAACCAATATTAATAACCTATTTTGGTTAGTATCTAAAGTAATTTCCTCCGACATTCACCACTCCTGCAAGATTTTGTTTTGCTTAACATAACTAGAGCAAGTTCTTGTCAACTACTTGATTCCAAATAGAGCAAGTTCTTAAGCATTTAGTAAAAGAAAAATCCTTGAGAGCTGTTATATTCACTTAGGTTGCAAAGCAGGTGAACAAAAGTATTTCTTTATTACTTTTTTGAGTACTTGATTTTCAAAACTCCATCACACTCTTTCAACTAATCCTTTTGCAAAATGTGGTGAGTACACTGAACCCAACAGGCTATCTCTCTTACAGTATTATTTACATTTCCTATTGCCATGCCTTCAGTAGATTATTTGTTGACTAACGATGCAAACTGCACCTAAAATGGAGACATTGAAGAATTTACAAAATTTTGAAGCTGATTGCCAATTTCACCTTCTTCAACACTCCCAAATCTTCGCTGATTACCTGAAAATTCAAAAGATTGGAGCACATCTTAGCATAATTAGATGGGATCTGAAGAAGACATGTAGGAAAATAACAAAGTGTAAGATATTAGACAGAAAAGGCAGAGACGAGAAGACACAAATGCCCGAACACACTAACAAAAATATAGTTGGATTCCATAGAGAAACTTTTAACTATAAAATCGCATTGGTAAAATAGTTGACTAAGCGCTTTGTACTTTATAATCCATTCGCTAGGCTTCATTATCATCCTCAATATACTATAAGAAATGCTAAAACATCTATATAAATCATCCGAAAGGACTCAAAACCAACAGTGCAGTCAAACTTATAGAACAACCAACAATATCCAATAGAATAACAGATTGCACAAGGATTAAACACCAATATACAGACTTCGTTTGAGTATTATTTGAGAAATATTATATAAAAACAAGCACACACACATACTGGGAGACAATACAGAAACTGACTTGTCATGGGAAAATGAACCATTGAGATATTGTTTCATTTGTCTTGAATTTGGCGGCTCAAATGAACAACTTATTCTACAGGAGTCTTCTAGACTAAGTACAGGCATATATTAATGAAGCCATCAGCAAATTACCATGGTTAAGGACATTGTACAGAAAGATATTCTCACAGTTAATACCAGTAATTGACGAGAGGACTATGAGAGCAATTCAATATAACAATTCTTTGCTGAAACACCAAGAAATCAGAGTGACATGCATAAGTTTTGTACATTTAAAAGTGATACAACATAGCAATTCATGGACATATGCTTGCCTTGACTTTTGAGAAATCTATCAGCTCTATCTCAAAATGAAGTTCAGAATCCTTTGGGAATCTATCATCCACTGAGACAGGGCAATCCTCCTCCCCGTAATGCATTTCAGGTTTCATTTTAAACTGCAAGCCAATATCACAAATCCAACTAAAAAGATTAGCAAAACTATGTTTCAAAAGTAGCGGACACTTTTAGGCCTTAGCCAGCAACTGGAATATTCTCGTCCCTTGGGCACTTTACAATGCAGATCTCATGAGTCAAATTTCTGTTTTTACTAAGCCAAGTCATTGAATTAAATTTAAATATTCCCAATGTCCTGAAAATTTAAAAAATGATTACAAAAGAAGATGGAGTAGCAGGCAACTGCATAAGAATCCAAATTTCCTGAACACACCTGCATTTTACACTTTTAAAAAAGGTTTGACATGCAAATATGTTTCAATATTGCAACTCAGTCATTTAACATTTTTTTCCTATATGACATCTGTAGTGCTCTGTCCCACACAAGCTTCCAAGTCTTCAACTAAAGAATGAAACAAAATAAATAAGCAGAATCTTTAAATATTGCTTTGTGGTCATAGCCCAGATATACAAGCTTTTACATCATCACAGTCTATTACAGTTGAACTCGTTAATAATGGTACAATGTGTGCAACAATAGATTAAAAAATCTTTAACAAATGAAACCATACAGCCCAACCCAAAAAAATGAAACATCTTTTTGGGCCTACAACAGTAATACCATTCAATCCCAATTCTACAAAAGAAGGTTGAGATAAAGACCATTGCAACTTCATCTGTCAGCATGGTAGGGATTCCTTCCAACAGTCCTAATATCATCTTGCTTTTCCCCAAAACATGCCTAATTGGAGCACCATTGCCTGTCAAAAGAGGATAAAAAGCCTTTCATAATCAATGGGAATGTAGAAAGTAGTTAGTAATTTTATTACCAAGGGAACACTATATCTTAACAACATCCAGGTATATCTGCATCATTAAGTTAACAAAAACAGAAAGATATCCCCAGAAGCCCAGTATAATGTTGCTCTCCCATTCCGGATGTAGCAAAATAATCCGCAGGGATATTCAGACAGCAAAGGAGCAGCAGAACTGTTATGACAAGTTCACATAGCAAGAAACCAGAGTAAACCCAGAGAACAGTCTAGCTTCTTAAAAGCACATGCACTTAAGAGGTTTCAGGTGACCCATCAGTTGCAATACTAGTTCTAGTAAAAATCAGAGTTCTAAAACCCTCTATTCTTAATTTCTCCTAAAACCTTCAGACTTCTATCTTGTGTCATAATTTTACCACCACAGTAAGATGACAGAATTGATGCTGGAACTCACCTCCAAATTCTCTTCTTGTTGACTGGACAACAACACCATCCAAGGTGCGAATTGTGCAATGATAAATGACCTGCATATTGGTGCACAATTTATTAAGCATCATTTGGCACCATCATAGGGAGGACATGATTTTGTCATGGAAGTACTGTAGGAACACTTAATAGGTCGTTGGCACTCGCAAGTTAAAGCCAGACGTCGTCCAACTAACAAAACCATTCAAGACAAAAAATCCACCAACCTGATCACCATCAGCAGGGGTCACTTCTCCGCCCCCTGGCCTTATCACAGCTTTCATCAAACTTCCCGGCACAATCTTCTTCTTCCTATGCATAAGGAATTACTAAATCAACACACAACCAATAAAAAATTACACAGCAATAAGCAAAGGTAATAGATAAATAAATAACTAAATATAAACAAACTGACCATTAGAACAAACAGACCATTAGAGAAAGAAAAGACGAAAAGGAAGAATATTTGACCTTTTATCTTCATCAGAAGTAGGTTTTTTCTTTTGGGATTTATAATCTGGCAGCCTGTCTTCATCCGTAGCCATGGTCGCTCGATTCAACTCTTTCTCGAAGTTGTGATCTTTGATTTCAGAACTTGAAGAACTTGAACTTGGAATTAGTTAAAAAGCCGAGCAACGAAAAGGCCTAGGCGAAGATATCGAGAATAAAAGAGGGAATGTAGTTAGGAACAGTACTTTCGTCCCCTATCAACACCATTAGTGTGTGGATTGTTTGGTCATTTCGTCCCCTAATGGGTTGCACGTATTTCTGCTGCAATTTTCCTGACCATGCTACCCTTGGATTTCACTTTTACCCTCGATGGAGTAATTAGCCAAAAGAAATAGAGTTGGCTTTATGGTCTTTTGGTTCGATCAACTCTTTTAGCCACACCTGCTGTATTATCATTTATGACATAGTTTGACTTTCAATTTAGCGGTGCGGTGGAGCCTGCCTTCAAATGAGCGAGTTTATACTACTTAGCATATCTTTTTGTGTTCCTACTACGATGGATAGATTATTTCTGCACAATTTCTGCTTCCAAGATATCTGAATCTTTTCCGTATAGTTATCTATAATGTTAAATTATTTTTGTTTAAACAGTCTGAATTGTCTTCTTCATACAATAATAGAAGGAAAAAAAAAATGGGGGTGCAACCCAAACACTGACGGTAAGTGATGACTACTTGCTATCTGCAACCTTATTACCAATGTCACTTTCTAAATAGAGCCTCCTCCACTATCACAGACTTTTATGATTTATTTTTGAATTTTCTTTATTTTCCCATCTATTGTTAAACTAAATATTCAAAAGAAGATGAATTATGATTTCATATTTTTGTCTTTTTTGCTTATAAAAATTTCGATTTTTAAGCCTGCTTTGTATCAATTTTTTTCCCTTATAAAAATTTTTTTTGCTTATTAGCTCAACACTAATAGCAAATATCATGAAGAACTACGATGATTAATATTGTTGAATCATAAAGTATTAGTGTGAAAACATATGTAGAAAGATTCTTATGTTTGTAAATATAACACTTTACTATTAGCCTAGATAATCACTATTTCTTTTTTAACTTTGATGTGTTCAACTGCAGCAATACTGTGTTTTCAATTTATCATGACCCTTTTGAAAATATACCAATTATTATATCTGGCCCAAATTAACTAGTAAGACTATAAATTAATCACAGTTAAATTGGAGGGGTGCCAGGCATGTTCATCATACAGAGTTATAAACGGTAATTAAATATTCAGTATACTATTCTTATTAGTTAGAGGTAATGTCATAAACGTCCCTTGAGGTTTCTTCTAATATCACTTGGCATCTTGAGCTTTCAAGAATATCACTTACCTCTCCTAATAATTGTAAAAAGACTATATTAACCCTCACTTGATCCATAATTTGTATGCCAAATAAATGGAGCTCAAAAAATTTTTAAAAAGAAGAAACAAAAGTCACTTTCTTCTCTTTCTCCTTTGTTGAACATTCTCTACTTTCTTTTTTTTTTGGATTACTATGCGATTTTTTAATTTGTAAATTATAGTAAATTGAATTTTGTTTATTTTTTAAATTTTGTGATTGTGTTAGAGTGGGGTATGATTTGTAGAACCCAAAAAATTTTACAAAAATTATATAGGAGATAAATTTCATAAAACCAATTTAGATGGGGAGGCAATTTACACACATAAGAATATGTATTGGAGAAGAGGAATAAATCAACTAATCACACATAATAGCAGTCTCTCAAATTTTCACTCTTATCAACTAACAACAATAATAAGACTCCCCATTTATAGACTAGATGACTTGGTAAATAAGTCTTACAACCATAAGAAATTTTCTAATAAATTACCAATTCCTAACTACTATAACTTGACTTCAATAAAATTTCTAAAAACTTGATTAAAACACTGCTAAATAACAATTTAGAAAATAATTGATTTAGTATGTCAACATGATTTCTTTATTTATTTTGAGTTGATTTTCATAATGATCGGTACAATTTAAGGGCTTGGACACAAGTTGAGAAGAAATTGAAAAAAATATATATAAGGTTCACATGAAATTGGTTTTGAGCATATAAAGTTAAATTGGTGTTAGTGTATTTCTTTGCAAATATCATTTTTGTTTTTCAAATTTATATTTCTATGGACTATAGCATTGTAACGTGGTAGTACTACTGGAAATCATTTTTTAGATGATGGTTTTCTTGAAGTAAACAAAGTAGTTTAGGAGTATTTTTATTTAGTGAGCAAAAGGTAGTTTAGGTTTTTCGAAATTTTGTGGAATAAATAACAAAAGCAATGGAGGTAAGTGATATCTTTAAAACCTTAGGGTTGCTAGGTGATATTAAGAGAAACGTGAGGGGAAGTTTCTGTATTAACTATTCCGCTAAAGTCTGAGCAGAAAAAACAAATTTACTGCATAAGACAACAAAAAGAAGTAGGTAACCTTACCAACACTAACTGGGACTAGGAGGAGAGCCCTGTGCACTTACAAGTTGCTCAATTACTGCCCCGTTAATTTCTAAATTGTTATTAATGATTGTGAATGCTAAATGAAAAACAATATACGTGGTTGTGTAACCTTAAATGTGGTTGAAGAAAGTTGTAATGCAAAATTTTAAAATAAAACTGGTAACAATTGGAAATGATTAGGAATTACACAATATGGACAGCATTAGTAGGTACAAACTATGGTATAGTGGAATAAGAGCTGTACCAGTATTTTTACTAACTTAAATTTGAAATTTAAAGAGCACATATTGAAGAACATGATTACAATTACATCCAGAAAGAAAGCAAATAAACTTTTACTGCATATCCACCCCAATTGAGATACTGAAATGATTCAAATCTTAAATCCAGAGGACAATGACAGAACAACACTCGAATCATGAAATAAATGGAAAAACATTGTAATATGATTAACCTGCCACTATTATGACAGATTGGCAACTGAGCTTGAGCGAATGAGGTGCAAATTGTTCACTTCAAGTTCATTCCAACTTCTGCACATTCTTTTTTTGCCAGACAGGAAACCAACTAATAAATGTAAAATCAGTTGAAAAATATGAAAAAAAATTATGATGATTATAATTCTATAGCATTCTGTAAAACTTTATTTTTCTCAGTTTTCATGTTGTACGTTGGAAAGGAAGCACATGCTTAATGACAAAGCCATACGACATCACAATGACTTGTACAAGTCCTTAAAAGGCCCCCCAATACCAAAATAATGGTTCATAATTCTTGTAATACTTCTGACCCAATAGATTCGAAAAGAAAGGAGCTATCATCAATTCATTTTGTTCCTCAAGAAGCTCAAAGCAGCTTTTTATTGTACTAAGTATGGAAAGTGACACATCAGTCATCAAGGATAAAATGTTTAACTTCCAACTTTAAAAAAACCTCTACGCACCGCTTTATGCATTAAACTAATCCTCCAAAGCTAGAAGTACAAACCATTCTTGTCGCTTGAACATGGATTAAATCAGAATCCTCTCTACTTTTAAGTAAACTTCAATGCGATAAAAAAAGAAACAACACAACTCACAAGATATAAGCCCATACTTTGAAACATTGTATGATCAATTGGACATAACTGTGAATAAGAAAGTTCAAAAAATGAATTCACAAGATTAAACACAGTGAAACTAAAACTCGATTAAACAGGAGGAGAGCAAAAAAAAAAAAAACTGCAAGGAATAGAAACAAAAGAGAAATGAAAAGAAACGAGTCAATTTCTTTACTTTAAGTGTTTCTCAGCCATAGAAATCACAAAATCATTTCTTCTATTTTTGAGAGTACTGTTTTTAAATATAAAACAACTTATAAAAGAAATCAAGACAGACAACAAATTCTGCAACTGCCAAGGCAAATACAGCAGCTATAGCAGCCAAAAAAATAAAGAATAAAATAAAATTATCAAGTAGATTTATATCATGTTGTCTAAACAAAGATAAATGACATCTCATAAGTGAAGACAGTTTTCATTAATTCTTAATCCTATAGAGTGATTCAGCCCCATGGCCACTTTGAAATGACATTAGTTCATCTAGAAAAAGCTATATTGAAGTCAAACATGCTTACATTGGAAGATCAAAAAAAAAAATTTTTTAAAAAAAATCTCGTACTTACATAATGTAATTAGTGGACACCAAGAGCTTGATATTCCAACCAGAAAAATAAAATGACAAGTGGACCTTTCAATTTTTTCTCTAAAAAAGAAAACCTACAGAAACATTCCACATTTCAAATACTGGCAGGAAAAAAACTACCCCCAAATTGAAATCTCAGATTTTAGAGTTCCATAAATGTACTACACTAACGTTGGTCAACCATAACAAGTTCTTAAACCAACAAGATTTCCCAGTCTGGAGCACATAGACCAATGCTGCAAGCAAAGGCATACACTTAGTTTAGTATTTGTGAAGATCTAACATGATTTAATGTCGCATGGCTGTATAATACTATATCAGAAACTACCTAATGGTATAGCTACTAAGTATTTTATAGCAGCAAATTGGATCTATAGCAGCAAATTTTATCTTGTCTTGAAGCTGTGCCAATGTGCTCAGGTCTCAGAACTCCTCCATTAGTCATATTCTCACATGCGACAAAATACACCTGCAACATGAATTTTTCAGAGATCTTAGCATCAATTACAGTTTCAGAAGTAAATGAAACCTGACCTTCCTAATTAGCAGTAACTTATGCAAGAAAATCAAAGTCAACCCAAAAAGTTCCTTCTGACATTTCATCATTAGCATAGCAAGAGCGAATAATGGCAAAGAGTTTAGATATTATTCCAGAAGTCATAATTTGACCAATAGGCAATAGCCTTTGTTGCACCAAAATTGATTATCAAGCCTCGTGTATCAAAATCAATGAGATGTACCATGGACTAGACCAAGTTTCTCACCCTTGTTTCTTTCATTTCAAAAAAGAGTACATCCATGTTGAATTATAACAGAAAAAGATCAGATGATCAAATTAGAACACAAAAACATGAACTGCATAATTCTTTCACTTTCAACTGTTTGTGAGAGAACAGAAAATATGAAAGAAAAGAGAATCACATGCAGTCTGCAGGATGTAACTAACTGATGTGAGACGGATCTAGACGAACACCAAGTTGGGATGATTTGCGGAACTTTGACCCTTCTAGAATCACGAGCCAC